TTAATATCTGCCTGCCGTGAATTGACAGACGGTAGTAAAAACGAAACTGGTCCCCGCCGGCCGCTCAGGTTTCACTCGCCTTCTGAGGGGGAGGCCAACAAGGAGTTGTCCTGCAACTGTTTCGGAGGTTCCAAGCAGATCCCCTAAGGGGCTGGCTAGGACACCATCTACTCCACCCAAGATGCCTCGAAAATCTAGATGATCATTTCTTTGAGTGATGTCCAACAGGTTCTTCTCCTAGACAAATCCTCGCTCGTCTGCTGCAGCTTTGGCTGATTTTCCAATTAACTTGACTCGACATCAATGGGGACGCCTTTGGTGGCTGTGCAGCTGTGCCGCTGGCGCTGCCAACTGCTGCATTGATTTGTCAAATTGACAGCAATAAATCCATCATAACCAGTTACCACTGACAGTTAATCATAAGCACCGCTGACAGGTGGGTCCAGGCCCCCAGTCCTCCCGGCTTCGGCTTCGGCTTTGGCTTTGGCTTTGGCTTTGCGTAATGTATGCGAGCTGCCAATCAGTCGATTGTCTTGATGTATGCGCACATTGGCCAAGCTGCAATCGACTTTGGGCACGGCCCAGACCCCAGCCACGGATCGAGCCGTGCAAAAAGTTGCACCAAATTAATTAAGCCCCAAAGGCGGCCAGCCAGCCAGCCACCCACCCACTCAACCGCCCGACGGCGACGTGGGACGCCTCTAATGCCTAACCTTGTGCGCAACTGACACTTTGCTAAATGCCTACCCCCAGGCACGATACCGAATAGCCGCAGATATGCTAAGTAGGGGTATCGTTTGCGCCCCTTCCTTCGTGCCCCAGGGGCACTAAATTTATTTAAATGCATTAATTTTTATTTATAGCCTCGGTCCAAGCCATATTGCAATTGCATGGAGGTGATCTGCATGGAACCATGGGAAAATCGCTTTCAGTCCCAGCATAATGACAGTTATTTATCAATGGGCATTCGACTGTTGAGTGTTCGATGGTTGGTGGTTTCGAATTCGCGAATTGAGATCTCAGAATTGGGATTGGTTTGGGCGGCTTGTCCGTCCCTGTTATCCAGGGGGATGTAGCTCAGAGGTAGAGCGCTCGCTTTGCATGTGAGAGGCCCCGGGTTCAATCCCCGGCATCTCCAAGTATTCTTTTTTTTTTTGCGCCTGTCTTTTCTTTTTTCCAAACATTTTCTGCCAAAGATCTAGATCTTAATCCCAGTCTTTCATATTCAGTTAATTAGGCACACGCCGGTGACCGGGCCAATGAATATGGAAATCAAAATCTTCGTGTTGCCATTGACAAGTACAAATAAATGAAAATCGTTAAGTCCGACCGGTTATCTTTGGGCTAAACTAAGCGTTAAGCGTAAGACAAATTCAGTTACTTGCTGTGCCCGGAGGCCGGGGACTTGGACTTGGTACTGCGGAGCCGCATTCAAACTCCATGCGTAATTAGCCGCGGCATCGGCGATTTATCATCAAAATGTGGCGGCCATAAACAAATGCAGCTCACTCCGCGCTGGCGCCATTCGCCGTTCGGCATTCGGCATTCGCTTATTTCAAATTTCATTCGCCTTTGGTTTTTCATTAGGCATTAGAGAGATATTCCACAGACGGCAGCCGCAGCCGCAGCCGGCAGTCGCAGCAGGTGAAGATGTTTACCCAGTTACCGAGCATTCGGATTCAGATTTGAGGTTGCGCAAAGTGTCCGACAGAAATCAATAAAGTATCTCTTGGGGCTTGTGCAAGCCCCCGTCGCAGATGTCATTGGATCTGACAGCAGTGCATAATGATGTTATTCGATTGCGCCTGGACTTGGGGCTACTCTGAAGCTGGAGCGCTGTGTAGGAGGACCTGAGGATCTCCCGCCACAAATATGATAATTTCAACGCTGACTTCTATATCACGTGTTCTTGCCTGGTCGCGTTTCGTATGCCACATGCCACATGCCATTTCGCACCAGAACAGAGCTGGCCAGGCCGGGCCAGGCCCCGCCCTCGGCATGACCGAGCCCGTCCAAGCCGCCCCTTGGAGCCGAACGACGTGTGCATAAATCTTGCACGCATATTCAACTTGATGATGTTAAATGGCATGGCATGGCTGTACTACGGCAGTGCCGTATGCAGGCACCAGTTTCATCCTGTCCTTCTGTGTGTGTGTTTGTGTGTGTGGAATGTGCCACAGCCACACACTGCTGCAACAACATGGCGACATTCATAAACTAAAACCGAACTAAAGAGACTCCTCGAGGGGCAAGGGCAACGGCAACGGCAACGGCAACGGCCACCGCCTGTGGGTTTCGGGCTTCGGGCTGGACAAAACGTTGTGCCCAAAAAGCAAGACAGAGGCAGGCCGAACTTTTGATACACTTCCGTACAAAACCATACTGGGCAATCAATGGCCAACAGCCAAGAAACCCAACAAGCCAAAGTGCTTTGAGCAAGTGCATCGCCACGATTGGCTTTTCTCAGTCACCTTTAGGGGGTTTTTTTTTCAATTTTTTTATTATTATTTCTTGGCATGTTTTCTTTTTGCTTAACGGCGGCAGATTTGAAAAGAATTTCTGCTCGCAAATGAAATTGTTTCCTGTTAAAAGCTAAAAAAAAGGAGGAGAGAAAACCAACTATTCCGAAAGGGAGGAGAGGCCTCGGACATGGATGGATATGGCTGTGGATATGGCTGTGGATATGGATATGGACGGCACCTGTCGCAACGATTGATGAAATTAAAAGGTACGAGTATAAATAACAATCTTTTTAATGGTCTGGGATTTGGAACTTAATTTTTTAATTAAACAAGCCACAGAGGACAGCCACAGCGACAGCCACAGCGACAGGGGGGAGCAGGGGGCAGGGAATGGTGTCCGAGACATTTATGCAAAGCAGAAGCCACTTGGCCACTTGGCTGCTTGTGTGGTCTGTCTACGGTCTGCTGCCACCGCCAAGGAGGAGCACCATAATAACTGTGTTTGCCTTCTGGCCCGGCCAACACTTTTACTGCCGCCACAAGGAGGTCCGGGCGAGTAGGGCGAGGGCCTAGACCAGGTCCCGCACGATAACATGTTAATCCCCGGCCCCCTCGGCTACAGGTCCGGCAACGATGTCAAATGTCAGCACATGTGATTTGTCACTGGCCGGGGAGGAAGGGCCAGGCCTGGAGGAGCAACGAGGACTGCGTCGGTGGTCGGCGGTGGCCTGGACAAACATTTGTCACTGGCGGCAGGGACCACCTAACTAGTGTCACAAGACAGTGCCAGGAATGTGGCACTGAGAACCTGCAAGGAGATCTCCTTTCACCCAATCCGAAAAAAACAGTTTTCTTTGAATTTATATATACGTTTTATTTATACCATTTCTCTGCACACATTTGTAGAATTTTTGGAGAAATAAATCGAGGAAAACTGAGCAGAACTTTTACAAAACGAAAATATTGTATACAATATATTGTTTAGGTTGTTTTTATTCAATTATTAGTGTTTCGTTACTCGTTTTAATACAAAGAAATGCAATTAAATAGTTGCTTATATATTCATATATATATATATATATATATAAGAGATAGTTAGATAGAGATAGAGAGACTGAGAGATATAGGGAGAGCGAGCGTGGTTCGTGTAGAGAGTGTGAAACGATCGTTTGCTTTTATACATAAATAATTACATTTAATGCTCGGCTTAGGAATAAAACATATTACAATTTACAATGGTAGCAATGTTAACTTAGGCGTATGATTAATCAATTAATTAAACATAACTAGTACAAATAAAAGTGCAAATGAATTTACAAATGACAAATGACAATCCGTTCCGATGCGATCCGTTCCGATCCGTTCCGATCTGATCCGTAGGGTTTAAATAAATAGTTTCTGCTTTTGGTGGTAACAGAAGAATTTTGTTATATTACAGCAACGCGCATGTGTGTAAGTACAGTAGTTCGATCCGAGTTCTTCCTCAATGCCTAGTTAAGTATGTGATTAATCGCTCAATCGCTCAATCGGTCAATCGTTAAATGGGCTTCTTGTCTTAAGTACACACTAATTAAATTTTCACCTAAGCAGTTTGCTTTAACTTCTTCGTGTTTTTGTTTTTGTTTTTGTATTTGTTTGTGGGGCTTCCTCCTTTTTACATTCATATATATCGAGTATAAACTTGATGCTTCAGTTTTTTTTGTTTCGCTTTTACTTGACTCCTTTCCGCAGATTTGTTTGAATTTCGCATATTTGGTTTGCTAATTTGTTTGAACTATTTACTTTAAATATTATAATATAAATATACGAGAAACAATTTTCGCTCATCATTTTTCCATTTTCGTCTTCATATATATATAGCTTTATATACGTATATGTATGTGTGTGTATATGTGCATGTGTTTGCGTCTGTATGTAGAAAAGCAGCTGTTCTGTCTGTTTTGTTGCTATTTTGATTCGATTTGCTTAGCTTTAGTTTTAGTTTTAGTTTCATATTCAGTTAATAAATATAACGTGGCTTATTCAGTGTGAATTTTGGTGTCTCTCGTGCAGTTCCTTAAAATGTTCCATTGATCTAGGTTCGTTCGCCCACCTCCCACCCCCCTTCGCTCTCATTACATACAGTATGCCCTCCCCTCTGACAATTTCAACAACTTTCTGCATTTGATTAAAAAATTCGGTTTATTCTGAATGGAGCCCCCCCCCCCACAACCCCCCATAGATCTGTCCAAATTCGTTTCGCTGGGTGCCTAGTAAAATTCTTTAATATTGATTTATTGCTTTCTAAACGTTATTTTTTTGTTTGTTATCGGAAGTGTTTTTCTGTGCGACCTTGCTCACGCTATCGTTATCGCTATCGCTATCGTTATCGATTCTTAGTTTCTGCTTGCGTATGAATTTAAAAAACGTCTTCATGGGTTTTTGCTTTTCGTTAAATTTGTTATTTGTTTTCTAATTGCAATTGGTTTTCGTTTCGTTATAAAATTTTGAAAATATATGCATATATTTATATATATATTTATCGATTTTTGTTTAGCATTTGCTTGTATTAATTCTCATTGCTAATAAATTTAATTGATTTAGTAACCAAAGGTCAGCTGCAAGCAAATGCAATTTCAATTTCCATTTCAACAGTTTGTTTTTTGCAGTTAATTTTGAAACATCAATCAATCATCGATTATCGCTATCGCTATCGTTATCGTTATCGTTATTGCTATCGCTACGGCTCTCCTCATCGTTTCATTTCGTTTCGTTTCGTTTCGTTAGCTTATATAGCACATACTCGTAAATAAAAATCTTATTGTCTTTTCATTTATAACTATGTAGCAGTTCTGCGAGTTCTTTCCATTCGGCCCTCCGCCCTCCGCCGTCCGCCGTCCACTGTACTCTGTACTCTGTACTCCATTGGATGATGTATGGCCTGAGTAATGGTCTTCCTGGTCTTCTTCGCTTCCGCTTCCGCTTCTGTAGTGTGCTTTAAGGCGTGCAAGTGCAAACTTCTGTCTGAGCTGAGGTACTGAACAGTAAGCAACTCCGTATAGGCCCATACGAGTATCGATTGCTGTATATATATGTATCAGTTCATTATAAATTGCAGTTTATTCATCCATAATTTGTTGTTTGTTTTTTAATCGTGCCTTAATTCATTCGAAAACTGTTCTGAGTGCAATCCAATCTCTAATCTCCAAAATGATGATACTACGCGAACCTCCGCTGGCTGTGCAGCTGCAGGCGTCGGCGCTCGTTGTTGATCTTGATCTTGGCGATCCGTATCGACTCGGGCAGCACGGACGTGGGCGAGGTGGCCAGGTACCCGCTGACGAAGGTGAGGCGGCTGTTGCTGGTGGAGCCGTTGCCGTTGCCGTTGCCGCTGTCGCTGACGTCCAGCTCCCCTTCGAAGAGATCGGGATAGACGCTGATATTGTCCAGGTTGTCGATGTCGATGTCCCCCGCCTCGTTGCGCACGTAGGTCAGCTGGTGGTAGGGCGTGGCCATCAGCTTCTGGGTGGACTTGCGCAGGGACTTCTTGGTGGTGCTGGTGGTCGCCGCCGTGACGGTCCCCCCTCGACTGGTGTCGACTGTCGGCGAGGCCTCGGTGAGGGTGTTGTTCAGGTGGCTATTGATGTTCTTGTACACGCTGAAAATCTTGTCTATGAGGCCATGCTGCTGAGGCGGCGTTGCCGTCATCCTCTCCACAGTGGTTGTGGTTGTGGATGCGGAGAGTCTCCTCCTGGGCGTCGTCGCGGAAGGTACTCGCGTGCTGCCTGTCGGCGGCTGCAGTGGCAGCAGGAGCTTGTGCTGCTGCTGCAACTTATTGTCGCCCTGCAGCCACTGCCTGTGGTTCTCCTTGCTGCCACCGCCACCGCCACCGCCACGATGCCTGCTCAGCTTATGCGTGCTCGGTGCAAGATCAGTCTGGCTGGCGAGAGTGGTGGTGGCTGCCGTTGTGGCCGACGCTGCTCTGGCCAGCTCCTGCTGCAGCGGCGTCTGCTCTATCACCAGCTGGGTGCCCGCTGTCGAGGTAGTTGTGGCTGCCGTTGCCGCTGTTGCCGCCGATGTTCCTTTGGTTTCATAGTCCGTCGTGGACACTGTCTCCGCGTCTTCCACCAGCTCTGCCTCGTACTGCAGCAGCAGCTCGGTGTCGTTGCCGCTCATCTCTGTCGTGGTGGTGGTGGCCGAGGAGGCCTCGCTCTCCAGCTCCGTGATGAATGTGGACCAGGCATCGTAGTTGCTGCTGCTGCTGCTGCTGCTAATACTGTCGTCTGATGTTGCAGTTGTGCTGCTGCTGCTGCTGCTGCTACTTACACCCGCAACATCTGGCGTAAAGCTATCAATGGTGGACCAGGTGGGCCAGGGCTCCAAGGTAGTGATGCTAGTGCTGCTGGCATTGTAGGGATCCTCGTAGCCCATGCCGCTGCCGCTGCTGCTGCCGCTGCTGCTGCTGCTGCTGCTGCTGCTGCTACTGTAGAGGGAGTCGTCGGAAGATGTTAATGTGGCAGCCGTGACTGGCGGCGGCTTGGCCTTCGGCTTGCCCTTTCTTCGTCTCCCCTTGCGCTTGATGGACAGTGTGGCTGTTGACCATTTGGTTGCAGTGGTCGTTGCGGATGCGGATGCGGATGTGGATGTCGATGTTGCTGCCGTGGTGGCAGCTGCTGTGGCTGCTGCAGTCATTCGTTTCGTTGGACTAGCTGTGACTCGTTGTTGCAACTGCTCCTTGCGTCGTCGCTTCTGCTTCTTGTCGTGCTGCTGCCGCCTGGCCAGCAGCGAAGGATCATTGTGATGGTGTCGCACCTGATGTTGCTGCTGCTGCTGCTGCTTCTGCTGCTGCTGCTTCTGTCGATTTAATGCTAATCTCCTTTTGTTAGTGCTACTTAGACTATTACTACTATTGTTAATAATAATGTTACTGTTATTATTATTATGGCCATGATGCTCCTGTTGCGGCAGCAACTTTTGATTTTGGTTATTCGATTTGTGGCGATTGTTTTTGTTGCTGCGCGACGGCAGTGGCAGTGGCAACGGCTTGCGGCCATTACTGCTGCCATTCCCATTGCTGGCCATCATCTGGCTGGCGGCCATCTCGCGCCATTTTGGTAACGTGTGCTGATGGAAAAACTGCTCGGCATCGATCTTGTTGAACATGTAGCAGGCATCGTTGACGGTCTTCTTGGGTCCCACGGGCTTACCTCGGTGCGTGAACCCGACACGGCGCTGCAGGTCGACAACGGACCGGAACACGAAATAACCGTGCACGATCGTCTCGTTGAAGTAGCAGGTATCGCGCAGTTCCCTCTGCAACGGAACAAACGAACAGATATACAATACAATACAGTAGAGATTCAACAGAGATCACACAACTTCCGCACTCTTCAGTTGCGATTTATGAGCCGAAATGCGGAGGAGCATCGACAGCCCTGATGACAGCGACATCAGGGTGGGGGGGGAGCTGCTTGCTGTTTATTTATAAAACACTTGAGATCTCAAAACGACAGCCGAATGAAACGCGGCTTTCGACTTGGATGTCTTGCATACCCTGTGGAGCCGAGAAGCCGGCGAGGGTAGACTCGGCTGAGCCTAGAGGTGTTTGGGGAACCCTTTTGGCTGGAAGTTAGGGTAACCCACGGTCGACAGCCCACCCAACGATTCAGGTGGCTGTGCCACTATCAGCAGTCCCATCTGATCCCATCTGATCCGGCGATTCGATGTGGCAAACGACGCAGATGGCAGCCGATCCGTTCCCAAGCAATCAAGGCTTGTGCCATATTTAGCGATGGCTCCCTCTGTTTGCACGCCGAATATTTATGGCGTTTAATTGCTATTTTTGAGTAGCTTCTCACCATCTCGAGTCGAGTGATCTAGAGCCGAGAATAGCAGAGTGTCTCTTGTGTTGGGTAAACACAACGATTGTTCTATTTCGAGAGGGGATCGGATCGAATCGCTGACTCAGGTGCGGTGCCACACATTGACCTTCCCCGACAAATGCTCGTTAGAGCTCCATAAAGTGTTAATATGTGTGCTTAAATCGCGGCTATTATTTGCACAATAACTCGGCATAGATTTGCGGTCATAATCGCAATCGAATGACAAGTGCCGGGGCTCTGACCTTAGGGGTTCTATTCCATTGTTTGTCCAGAGCTAACTGTACCGAGTGGCAAAGGACATTGAAATGTTTTCGCCATTACAGCATGGGGCAGGGCATTGGATTGATTGATTGGACGTATCTATCTATCTATCTATCTATCTATCTATCTTTACGAGTGGCTTTCAATGCCGGCTGGCACAAAAGTGTTACAATGTCTCGAAAATTGTTCGATTGTTCGATTTCCTCCCGAATCTTTCAGTTCCAGTTGCGGTTTTGGGGCTGCACGCACGCGAGCGTGCCCCCAGCTGGGTGCATACCAGCCAAAAACTGTGCCAAATTGTGCCCCGTAATTGCATATGAAATTGTTTCGAATTTTGAAATTACCAAAAAATATTGTAATAAATATTTTGTTTACTCTGCCTGACAGAATTGGTGCAGCAGCCGAAGCAGCGGCGGTGGCAACAGGTTTACGAGTGTATCGGACAAATTCGAGCAGTGATCTTGCCTCCGACTTGGACTCGGACTCCGACCCGGACCCGGACCCGATCTCCCCTGGCCATGTGTACGGTATTGTGTATCCAATTTGGCTAAATCGCTCGAGAGAGCATTGTTATATCGTTTGCATAAAACCATTATGTGGAACATGTCATAAATTATAGTGTTTGCACAGTTAGTTTGCATAAAAACAGATCGTGATGGGGGGAGGGGCAGTGGGGGGGGGGGGGGGGGGGGGGGGGATCTGCGTTGCAATCAAAATTGTTGCAGCGGGCCTTGGCTATAAAGAGACAAAACAAATATGATTATGGCCATTGCGGGCAATTTGCTTGCACAAGAGACAGCCCCCTCCACCCCTCCCCACCCCCCCATAGACATTATCTATCGTGGAATTCCTTTTGATCTTATCGCTATCTGGGGGATGTACCCCAAGGGCTGAGTCAGGGAATCATCATCCACGTCGGATCACTCGATCGCGGCGTGAGGTCGAAGGTCAATCTGTGTACTCACCATGCCAACTAATCTCCAATTGTCGTTGAAACACAAATACCTTTGGGTTTCTTTTGCGTACAGTGCTATTTTGAATTCGTTGTTCACATAATCCGGGAGGCCGACTATCGTTATATTTTCTGTAAAAAGGAAGTAAACCACAAACGATTAAAGATTTGTCAATATTTGGCTGGCTAAAACATGGTTAATTAAAGGCAAACATCAGCGTTTAAGCGGGCCAAAAGGTTCGCATCGAAGATTTCCCAAAAAGCATTGCCCAAAATGGGGAGGCAAATGCCCCAAGTAGCGCCAAGGTGCGCCTCTCTCGCCGCTATTTATAAACCAGCAACAACAAAGTAAATCCAGTGCAGTGCAGGGCATCCATGCCCGGTGCGAGTACGAGTACGAGTACGAGTGTATTGTACATATCTACGGCTCGGCATGGCCTCGCCAGGCTATTGAACTTCAGGGCAGGGCAGGGCAGGGCAGGGCGGAGGCAGGCAGGCAGAGGAGGCGGAGGCGGAGGCAGGGCTGGGCCGGCCACAAAAGTCACTAATAAGTAAAGCACTTGAAAAGCCAGAGAAAAAGGCAACATGAAGAGAAAAGCCACTCGAGTTAGATTGATAGGTGACTCTGGGTTCAGCCCAGAGTCTCAGTCGTCTCCTCAGTCATCGTCGTCTGTCGCTGGCCGTCTGTCGCTGGCCGTCTGTCTGCCGCCCTCCGTCGTCTGCCTGCCTTCTGCCAGTAATTAAATTTATGCACAGAAATTCTTGGCAAAACATGGGGTCTGTGCTTGGGGCATGGGGCATGGATCTGCTGGAAGCTCTCATATTTCATAAGCCCGGCCCGAGGGCTGAGGGCTTGAGTGACTTTGTGCTTCACACCTTTGGCCGCCGGTGGCAGCCACTTGTGGTGCCCCAGGCTGGCTCCTCCAGGCAGCTCCTTTTGTTGCCTGCCCGTGATTCATGCGCCCTCTGGCTCTGCCGCTGCCCCCGGCTCTGCCGCTGCGACAGCTTATTGATTTCATTAGTTTGGCGACACATGACAGCGGAGTGGTGCAGCATGGAGTGCTGCATGGAGCACTCTCAGCGAGTTTGCACTTGTGAGTGCACTTCCCCGCCTCTCCCCCTTCAGTCTTCTGTTTGTTTATCCCCCTCTATCCCCCCCCCCTATGGGGTCTACGGCCCACGATGGGAGCAGGAAGTACAGGTCCAATCGCGATGGGCAACGGTACTGCTCTGCCATTTGCGGTCTTTGCGGCTCCCATTAGATCATCGCAGAACTCGATTACGATTCTACAGCCCTCCCCTCCCCCCGACTTTGACATTGAAAGGGCCCCCCCCCTCCACGCTCCAAACATCTTTTCCGGGGGGAAAAAGCCAAAATGTTTATTTTTAAAATCTAAACATTTCGTTTCGAAAACTTTTCTCAGAGAGAGAAAAAAGCCCATCAAATGCATTTTAGGCTCTGGAATTTTTATGGATCTTCGCTTTTGGGGTTTGTTTTTCAGTCCATAAAAAGCTTCGATTGGGTCGCATTTTTGCCGCAAGTTATTAAAAGTCAAGTCTTTCCGTCTTGGCCGGGGTTTCTAATTAAGTTATTAGTCATGGTCGAATGGAATGTTCCTATCGGATCGGATCGGATCGTATTCGTTTCGGCGTTTCGGCGTTGAGGCGCTGAGGGCCGAGGCCCGAGGCAATAGATGCTATCGATGCTCTTTATGGAGGCGTGATTTACATCCCCAGTTTCTGGGCCGGAGATGGAATTCCAAGTGGTGCCCATTCGAAGCGGGTATTTAGGGCAGTCATTGACAGAAAGCCAGAAGACCACGATGGTCCCTTTTGCGAATATCCCCCCTCGGAGGCCTCGGAGGGCCTCCAGCTGTGCCAGGCCATAAAACCAACACATATCTTGATGTATATTGTCAAAAGCATGAAACAAGCCCATCAACATGATCCAAGACTCCAAGGGGGAGCGGGGTGGAGCCCGGTGGAGTACGGAAAACACAACAAACAGCCAAATGCTAATCAAATATGCAAGCAATGAGCTTCATCAACATAAAATTAAAAAATCATAAAATGCTAAACTGCACAGCATGAACAAAAACCAAAAAACCGAAAATCCAAATAAAATAAAATAAAATAAAATACCATCCGCGGAGTCGTGCCACGTAATTGCGGCACATGTACGAAATACCCTCGAGAAACAACAACGACAGCGACACATTTTACGATCCACATGGAGATGGTCAACCCCCCCACCCCCCAATCAGGTTCCCCCCCCATGCCTGCATCTCCATTCGATTGGTGGGCGTTGCCTGGGGGCCTGTGATAAGCATAAATCTCTGCTTATCGATCTCTATGATAGCCCCCCCCCCCACACAGCTTGGCTCATACTTTCACTCGCTTTGGGAGGGCTGGGGCAGCGCTTCTAGGGGGGGGGGGGGGGGGGAATATTATCCTTGGGCATGGACTGGGCAGTCCATTGACCTGCCGGTCTCTCTCGTTCCTGGAATGTTGTCTGAGGCAGCGACTGCCTTCCCGGAACGGAACCTTTCCGCTGACGACTCCACTCCGAGGCGTCTTAGATTACGTTTGCCCTGCGATGGGGGGGGGGGGGGGGGCCTTTTCGCACCCTCGGCCACAGTCACAATAAACATTCTGCTCTACGATTTGTCACAAGCTGCAACTATCGGCATCGCCATCGCCATCGCCATCGCCATCGGCTGGCTATCGTTGCAAGTTGCACTCCTCGCTTATGGCCGTTTTGTCACGTTTCCTGGAAGAAAAACCGTTTTATTTGCTCGGTGCCAGCATTTCGGTTCGGTTTGTTTTGTAAGCCGAGAGACCAAGCTGGGCGAAAGGAAAACAAACTTCAACTTGAGGCAACTTGAATGCACCATGCCCCGTCCACCGTACCCCCCCCCCCGTCTGTGTTGCCATTCATTTATCAGGCCTCTCTGGCCTGCCCCAGCAACAGCCCAACAGCAACTCCAATTTGAACTGCACTAATGCTAATTGCATGGGCACGCCCAGCCCCCAGCCCCCAGCCCCCCGGCCCCCCAGCCCGCAGACCAACTTCAACTTCAATTCCCCTTCGAATGCCACCAAATTAGCGCCATTTAATGTGGAGCGTACTCGGGCTTTACGCACGATTCTTCCACTGACGCCACTCCCCTGGCAGGGCATCGCTTCGGTGGGGCAGAGGAGTCGAGGCCACAGTGTCAATGAGTTAATTAGCGCACGATTTGTCGCCCCCACAATGGCGGGGCAGGGGCCAGCACTTCATGTGGGTGGCTGCCACCGACACTTGGGAGAAAGAAAAGAAAAAGAAAAATCTCTGCTTTTATTGGAGTCATCGTTTCCCCCTCATTTCTGGGTCACACTCGAACCAGACCCAGACCCACACCCAGACGTCTGTGTGCGTCTTTTATTTGTTTATAATTTATGTTTGAGTCCGATTGAATTTTGTGGTTCACCAAATCAAGAGAAAGCCATTAAAATTATGGAAAAAGAATTTCTGATAAATGTGATTAAAAATAGCCATCAAAAAGTGAAGGAACCGAAATACGAATACGAAATTATTGCTCCATTCCCAGGTGGTTAAAGAACCCACAAAATGAAGAGATATTTCATAAACGAAGAGTGGCATCACATTCGTGGTTAGATCTGGAGGAATCGCTGCGATATCGTCGGGAATCGCATACACATATCCCATGCGATAAGTTTTGCATGCAAGAGCCTGCGGTGCAGTATCGATGACAAGAGCAATGCCACCGCCGGTCCAACGAAAGGAAAACAAAGTGCTGCCGGGCGGACCACACACGCAGCCTGCTGGGGTTATTTACAGTTGATTGCTGCTGCTGCCGACTGCTGCCTCCAGGCGGATACCCTTTCGAGGGGCGACTGTGCCCCATTCGTGGGCAGTGTATCCCCCAGGTCGGCCTTCGAGCTGGTTTAAGCCCGCCTTTTGTTTATTTAGTCGTAACTGTTGTTGCGGTTTCGCTTTCATTGTTGTGCCAGCGGCCAGGGGCGAGGAGTGGAGGGATGCCAAGGAAAATAAATTGAAACTGGCATTTAATTAAGTTAAGCCAAAGCCAGAGGAGAGCAGCACTCGCTGGCGATTTATTATAATAAATAAATACGAGTACCCGGCTGGTGCGAGGGGCCGCCATATATCACTGGGAACTACACTAATTGCGGTTTTATCTGAGCAAGGACGTTGGCCAAAACCCCACAAACTCAGATCGAAGTCAAGTCAAATCAAGTGGAATCGAGACCCAGCCCCAGTCCCAGTCTCAGCCCCAGTCCCAGTCCCAGTCCCCAGTCCCAGCCCCAGTTGCAACATGTGCAACAAAGTCCGAGTGTGGCACTGGATATACTTTTTATTAATTAAGTGCAAACGTAGTCACTTACAGGCCGTTTAAACTGCGTGTTAGCCAACTTGAAATGGCCCCGCTAATGCGCCAACAGGTAAATCGAAAGAAAATCCAAAAATATATGCACATGCGCCTCCAGCAACAACAACAACAACAAAATTGTCAACCCGGGCGCATAAATTTGCCCCCTAGGCCCCCCTCCCCTCCCCGAGACACTTGTTTACGCCTTTCGGTTGCACGTTGCAACAGTGGTAGGCCGTAAAATTTAGCTGGCTTCCTTTTGATCGTAACTCGCGGAGTTATTGTGACAATTTGGATTGTTTCTCCCCTTGGTTTCTCATATTTTTCTCAACATTTTCCAACCATCCATCTGGCACTCTGGGTAGGTGGGGGCAGGGGCAGGGATACACTCGCAAAACCATTGATTACTTCACTATAAATTAAGATATAGTTGGCCAGAGATTTACGGCGACAGGTGTTAATATCCCCATCGATTGGCCAATCATCGTAATTCTCCTCCGAAGGAAGTCTCGCGTGGGCGCAGAAATTAGTCAACTAATGGTTTAACACGAAGATAAAGCCATGTTTATGGACACTTTTGCCCGGTGTCCAGTCGCCGCTGTCCGTGCATAAATATCGCGAATTAATTTTGCAGCAAATTTTGTGCTATAATGGGATCTCCGTTCACTTTTGGAATGGAAAGGCTCAAGGGATTGGTGTTGGGTTTTTGGGAAAGGGAATTCCCATGAATTCCTAGATCTC